AAACGCCAAACATGAAGAGAAAACGAGGCGAGGAACAACATTCATACTTGAACAAAAGTGTTCATTAATAATTTAAAAGGAGGGCGCTTCGGCCATTACAAAAAGGGCGCTTCGGCCATTACATACATCAGGGCGCTTCGGCCATTGAGGCTACAACTATGAATGCAAAAAAGAAATGAAGTACAAGAAGGCACTAAGCAGCTTGTCCTTGGCCACCCTCAACGGCTCCGCTATCCGCATCGTCTTGCTCATCCTCAGTATTCTTGGACCGCGCCGAGCTACGGAAGAGGTAGTCATCACTCTCGGTCCAGGGCTCGTCCTCTTCATCCGAGCTCAAGATGGGGGGCTGCCTTTCGGACAGAGGAAGTTTCAACTCCTCCTCGGGGTCCTTCATCATCCGGGGAAGGCCGATACCCCTGGGCTTCAAGTTCTTTACACGCCGGCGGAGGCGGCGGTAAACCAGCATCTGCATACGCCTCTGGCCGAGGTCGTACCAGACTTCAAACTCCTCTTTCAGGCGGGCTCGGCCAGCTTCCTCCTGGGACCACGCTTCGAAGCGCTCCGCCACGACCTTAAAACTCCAGTCGTGGCAGGTCTTGTTCTTCCACCCTTCGGCCATGAAGAGCTCCACGGCTCTGTCAGCAGCCGCAGCCGCATCGGCTTCTACCTTCACGGCCCTTTCCTCTGCTAGCCGACGGGCGGCCGTTTCCTCATCCAGCTGAACTTTGAGGCGCCTCGCCTCGTCCTCGGCAGCAACAGCTTTCTTTTCAGCCGCATCAGCCCTCTCCTTCAAAGAACCAGTTTCAGCCCGAAGCCGCTCCAACTGGGACAGCGCCTCGTCTGCAGAGGCGGCTTTCTTCGCAGCTTCGCGAAGGCGAGCAAGCTCCTCGTCCTGCCGCCGCTGCTGCTCCATGAGCATGAAGGCACCCTGCAGAAACATGTAACATTAGAAAAAGGAGGAACACAAAAATTACTAAGTACCAAGTAAGAAATTTACCAGGACAACGTAGTCCAATCCACCATCAAAGAGGCGCACATCCTTGCTCTGCCGACGTAGGTACTCCCTATCGGCATCGGGAATGGCCTGGAACAGGACGTCGTGCCCGGAAACCTTCTTGTTGAATAAACCGCCCTTCGGCGGATACCGCACCGTTACCTCATAAAGATCGGAGGTCAGATCTCGGTCAGCGCGGGCACTCTTCTTTGCAGCAGCCCCGGACTTAGCAGGAACTAGGGCGGACGAGGCGACGTTCAACGTTAGATCCTCGATGATGTGCACATCAGAGGCAGCTCCCCCTTGGACCGATGCCTGCGTGTCGGCCAAAGCAGCGTCATTGGAGGGAGGGTTCGGCTTCGTCTTCTTGGCGCCTTCAGCCGGCACCAGACCCGTCTGGGTAAGAGTACGCTGCCCCTCGGCAGCCTTCTTCCTCTTCACCACAGGTTTTTTTGCCGCATCAGCAATACCCTTAGAGCCGTCGCCAGAACCCTTGGACGCCTCGGCCCGCTGGGCAGCCTCCAGCTCCTTTGCAACCTGCTTCTTGGCCTGGGCCATGAACATTTTGCGACTCATCTCGTAACCTGCAAGGACGACGCCACAAGAAAGGGTTAGACACAATAAAATACCAAGTACAAAAAGATTCAAAGGCAAGTGTCAACCTTCGGCCTCGGCCGGGATCCCAAGAAGTGGCCCATCGGCCTGTTCAAAAGAGCCAGAGATCCTAGGCCACAATCCACAATCCGGGTCGCCAGGTATGTAATACCGCATCATCCCGAGAGCCGCAATCTTGAACTCAGTAATGTACGTGTTCACACTCCTCGGCCCACCTTTTAGGAATGCCTCAACTTGGGCATCGAGCTCAGCGCTTCGCGGCGGGTTATGCAGGCTAAAGTTACCATTGTGCCCTTGCGAAGGAAAGAAAACCCCACCGGCCAGCTTCACGAATACAAACTTCGCCTTCCACCCATGGATAGACAAAGGGAGGTCTTTGAAAGATTTTTTCTCCGGGAGTTGCTGAAGCGTAGCATAACCAGCGCAATTCTTATGGCTTCCTCGGCCGATCCGGAACAAATTTGTAAAAAGGGCCGTCGTGGGCTCAAAACCCAGCTCGTCGCATCGGATAAGGAACCCGACGATCAGTGAGAAACTATTCGGCGTCAACAGCGCCGGGGGGAGATCTACCATCCCCAAGTACTCAATCACAAAAGGGGGCAGCGGAAACCGTAGCCCTTGCGAGAACGCCATCGGATAAACCCCGAAGTACCCAGGAGGAGGATCCAGAACATGGTCCGTCGGCCTAGGCTCCCTCACCTTTCCATAAGGCCCGACATACAGCTGAGCCAAATGATAATCACCTCGGGAGCCCTCGGGCCTTATGACATACAGATTTGATAAGTCCAACTGGGACAACCCGCCAGCCGCAGCTTTCCTCCGACGCGACGCGCGTTCCTTGGTAACCCTAGAAGACGACGCCCCACCCGGCACAGACGAAATAGGTGGAGGGCAGGGGATGGCGGCCGAAGAGGCATCACCCGCTTCGTCTCCCCGAAGCTTGGGTTCCGAGCTCGCCTCGTCCTCGCCCGATTGTTGGGAACCCGCATCATCACTCAGACGCTCCTCGTCCTGAGAAGTGCGGTAATCAGCAGTATTCTCCATCTCTGTTTCAAACGCTCGAACTATCTCAAGATTCACTCCAGGAGACGGGTCCTCGTCGTCAAAAGGCCAGTCCGACTCGTCTAAAGAAGCTGTTAAGTTAAGAGGGGAGGGGACGCTACGGCCGTCAGGGAACGGCATAACAACTATGCTACGTCCTAAGGGTTGTTCGAGGATCAAAGTGACTTTCCTACGAACACTAGATCTAACACCCTAAGGAGCAAAATATGAAGGAAACAAAGGAAGAGTAAAGTAGCTAACCTTGGAAGATTTGAAGGATGTGATGAACACTTGGAAAATCTCAGAACTTTCTCTCTCTAGAAAAACTTGGGCAGCAATTCGACAACAGCAAGACACAAATGAGGAAGTGGCTTCGGAATAAGGGGGTATTTATAGAAAACTTCCAAACGGTCACTACACGTGGCACCATCCCATTGGTTCCACCAACGGCCACCCCTCTTCCAACCAATCAAGGGGCCCCAATTTAAAATTACTCATGGAAGTATCCCCTACGGCCAAACTTGAACTCAAAAAGCAAGGCATCGTCTGAGTACCGCTGCGGCCCAATTACTACAAAGCTCCAGAACAGGCATCGGCCCATTCTCCCGAATAAGGAACGCATCGGCCTAAACTTGACGTCCCCACAACAACCCAAGGAACCTTAAATAGACCGCTACGGCTGCTTGTGCGCGCATCGTCGATGATAACCCTGGCATTGCGGCCTTCGTCCAAGGGTTCTCCCACAGGGTTACCTTGGACAGGTTCGCCTAAGGGTTGGAGTCACGACTAAACGCACAGGTACCGGATCGGCTCATTACTCCCTTGTGCCTCAGATGCTCTTCGGCCAAAGGAGTGGGGGACTGGGGGACTGTATCGGCCACAAGAAGAAAGAGCGCAACGGCCTTAATATAAAAGGGTGCGCTAACGGCTCACCAGCAACAAAAAATGGACAATTCACCTCAGATAAGCATTAAGAGTCGCATCAGCTACCTCAACGGCATCACGAGTCGCGTCGGCCGCAAAACCCAAAATAAAAAGAAACTCACCATGCGAGATCTAGCACGCAACGGCGGCGTACACTGAGAAGACCGCATCGTCTCACCATAACAAAAACTCACAAGTCAAAACGCTTCGGCTGCATAACGAATCAAAGGTGCGCATCGCCTACATAAACAGAATCAACCACCTTCATCTCATGAAAATAGGTCTTCGCTACGGCCAAAAGGATAAATGGGAGCTCTTCGGCCCAAACAAGATAACGACGAAAGCATGCCAACTTATCCACCGAGGGTTCATCGCATCATCTACAAAAAGCGCATCGCCTCGTCTTCAAAGGCACTCCCACAGAGTGTGCATCGGCCCGCATCAAGGCTATGAGTTCCCAAGCACGCTTCATCTACATCAAAAGGAACCGCTTCATCCAAAATCAATACAGGAACTCTGCGGCCATCAAACGCCTTAGACTCACACAACGGCCAGACAGAAAGGAACAAGTACTCCCTTTCGCTTCGGCTTCACCTCAGCTCAGAGAGTGGGGGACTCCTGATAGAGTATATGGGCCTGGACCCCATAGCCCACATACTCAATGGCCCAAAACACACCAGCGGGGCACCCGCATCGGCCAGAGGCATGCAGCGTCCAAGAAAGAAGACATCACCCGGATTCTTTGGGCAAAGCCCAGGATCCGCATCGTCCATGGACCGCATCGTCCATGGACCGCATCGTCCAGGATCCGCATCGTCCATGGACCGCATCGTCCGGACTTCGTCCAGACAGAATGTGTTTTTCATTGTATTTACTAAGTGTTGTACACAGCCCATTAGTGGCCTTATTTCGCCCAAAGAAGGCATGATTATTGTAATGGGCCTCCTAAGCCCAGGGCTAGGGGCCCAAATCCACATTTTTACCTATAAATAGACCCCAAGGGGCTAATTATAGGGGATGGGAAAATTGAGAAATATAATTACTCACTTTCTCTCTCTAGCTCTCACTTCTCTCTAGGATTAATACTCTATCAATTACAGTGTTAGATGGAATTGAGTATTACCCACGACTAAATTACTCATAAATATTTGTCCCCATTTTTAGAAACAACGTAAATATAATATTCAAAAGGATGTAGTAAAGAACAATCCAAAATTATATTAATTCCTGCTAATGCCACAATTTCTTATCATGCTTTGGTATCAAGGTTCCATTCAGGAAAAAAGTTGACTGGCAGAAGGTTCCACTTGTAATTTATAAAAATATATCGGGCCCCATTGTAATGTGATCAACCTCAAGGGAGGTAAATGTAACTACCCCCAAGAGGAAAAGGAAAAGAAAGACGAATTCAATCAATATCCCAAACCTTCAAAGATTTTTTTAGCTTCTGAAGCTGTTACAGAACCAAGTCCATTCTCCCCACCTTCATCATTAGTGATGGCTGCAACAGCAGCGGCAGATGCGGCTGCCTCAGCTTCTGCCTCAGAATCTTGTAAGCTCACAGAGCAGTCATTTGGGAGTTTGTCAAAGAGAGAACAATCATTCTTAGTTGCAGAAAGATTGTGGGAGATTTGTACATCAGAAGGCCGCTTGGAACCTGGAGCTCCGATGAGTCCGATCCCATGTGAAACAACATGGGTACTAACAGGGAGAATTGTTGGGGATGTAACAGCACCTGGCAAATGACAATTAATCAAACCATATGTGAGAAGATATTATCTTTAATGCTCCATTTGGGTTGAGTTGAGATTCAACTCGGTTACGGTTAACTTTAAACATAACCTAAATTAGGAGAAAGTTTAGAAAAAATATTTAGAAAATATAGTTCTATCTAGTGAATGTTGTTTTAACCTTGTCTGGGTTGAAGTCAATTATTATTAAAAATATGAGATACAACCCCTGAGTTTGGGTGAAAGAAAAATAGGGAGAATCGAGATGATTGATTTATACCAGTTAACTTAGGGTAATGGTATCAATAAAATCCTTAAAAGAAGTGAATCGTATTACTTACTTACCTAAATCACTAAATTCATCTAGGTTCACCTTAATCCAAATGGAGCAGTTAGTGGCAGAAATATCTCTACAGTTAATAAAAACATTTACCAAATTGGATTTTCTCTCCAGCAAGCAGAGAGTTAATTGGACTTGTTGTCAGCAAAAAGGAAGACTTGTCATTGGCCATCATAATTGATGATGATGATGGTAAGGCAGGCTCTATAGTTGAACTACTAATATGACTCCCCGAAGTAGAACAAGAATCTTGCATCTCAAATTTCACTGGCTTCATAGCCTCCTCAAGCTGGCTCTGTGTCAATGTTAAAACCTATCCATGAGTAAGTGAGAGAATCTTTTAAACAGTTTGTAAATTAAACAGCATAATGAAAACAATTGATTCATTAAGTGGGATACTGAGCTAAAACAAAAAACGCTAACTAGTACTGGTACTCGATATACGCTTTTAAGGTACACGCTTAACAAGAATTTAAGTTAGAATAAGGTGCAACTTTTTAAGGTACTCGTGCTGTACAGTTCATAGTGAAAACAATAGGTTCATTGACATACTAGTACTAGTACTATATAAGTCTGAAAAGAGGTAATGTTAGACCAAGGTGCAAGTGGGCAACTTTCTTTTTTAGTAAACTTAATCAGATTTTACAAGTAATGAAGGTCACTTGTATACCAATAAAACTTAATTCCCAGAATGATCGAAGTAGTTTCTTAAAACCATTAGAGCTACTTGGGGCTCCATTTTATTGGGCACAAGAAATTCTTAAAAAGGGCTCTTTTATTAGAGGGAGTATATGTCTCAATAGACTGAATTTGGCATCAGCGAGTAGAAAGCAGCAACGTTCAAACTGCAGTAGGTCAGACATTTTAAACAAATATCTTTTACAGTAATATGATGGATTTGGTTTTTGTACTAACTTGTTGGTTCACAAATGGAGTGCACCAGGACTTCGAAGACATTGACATAACAGCACCTTCACATTTCTTTCCCTCAAACATCAAGCTCATTCCATCGCTTCCACTACCAGATACGACAGTAGCAGGGGGGGCTTTAAGAGATCTGGTAAATATGAGAAAATAAGAGTTTTAAAACTCATAAATGAGTATCATATAATTTAAAAATAACAGTTAGGGTGTGTTTGGTTTGATTCTATGAGAGGAGGGAAATGACAATTCTCACGTCCTATCATTTGGTTAAGAAATTTTGCAAGAGAGAGGTCTATGTTCTCCCTCCCCATATTTTCCTCTGCTTCATATTTGGGGGAGGGGGTCTTGAAAAGGGAATCTAAATCCCACCCGAGTCCAACACAACCATACAAAGAAGAAGAAGCACTCCCTTCTCCTCCATAACTTTCCCTCTGCCAACCTCCCATTCCTTGAACCATACACACCCTTAATGCCTCATAACAAAATTAATACAGAAAATGCATACTTGTTTGATCTGATATCTGATTCAGTTCCAGCATCTATGGCAGGAGTACAAATTTGAGCGATTGGCTGCACGAGATTGGCAAAACAACTTATGGCTTCAGGCTTGTTGGTTGAACCTTGGCCCTCAGTCGTAGCAAAGGCAGAGTGTGTTTTCAAGGAAATATGTACGGATGCCTTATTTAAGCTGGTTGAAGCTGCATTGTTTTGTCTGGCAATGTGAGGTTTACGCGGTTGCTGTGTCAAACAAGATAAATTAATAAACATAGTCAGTTAGCTGAAAAATGGGACTAAAAAACTACACATTAAACTTTAACATGAAGTAGCTAAAATATTATATGCATCATTAGAACCTTTAAGGCCCGAGATTTTGCTTTTATTTCTCTCTCTCTCTCTCTCTCTGTTCCCAGCGGTCATTCAGCATTTGCCTTTTAGACCTCACTTGAATAAAGTCATCTTCATCACTAGGGGCTTCAATACCAGGTTATTTAAAAACACGTACAACTCCACTCTGCAATGGAGCATCAACATCTTCCTCATATATGTTATTCCTCTTCAAATTTCCCTCCCGAATATTAGAAAGACCACTCTGCCTCTTAATAACATGATCCTTCATAGTAGCAATATTTCGAGAACCATTGCTTCCCTGACTAGACTTTTCAGCTTCTACTGTGTGTTTCATGGATTTATTAGGCATTGAATGATTGAACCTCTCTTGGATCCACTTCTTGTAAAAACCCCTCCATACCTTCCACCGTATGCTGCCTTATCATCAAAACCAGTATCATTAACTGGGAGAGCACCAGAAAACTGTCTCTTATCAGCATTCTCCCGAACTCGAAATTCTGTCCGTTGGACTGTCCGTCGTGGTCTCCTTTGAAACCCATTAAAATCTGAGAAAATAGTCTCAAAAGCATTAGAAGTTGACCTAGCACTGTTATTTTTAACAGCATAAGTGAACCTCTTACCCTTTGTGCCAGAGAATGAACCTTGAGACTTAAATCCACCAGAAATCACCCGACTTACAGTCGATACATTCTGCCCCTTGGATGATTCCAGATTACTCTGCATATCTACACTATCCTGTTCCTTGGTCTCAGTATGACCAGAAACCTCGGAGTTGATCACAAGTGTCTGAGCATTGTTCCCTGCAGCTCTTACCGATGACTAATCTAGTTCTGAATCATCTCTGTGAGACTGCCCACGGTAACCTCCATTACATTGATTCACATTATATTTATTGCTTTGTAGCTTTGGCTGAATGAAAGACACTGGTAGAGCTGTCCCTGGCAAAATTCCTTGGGAGATAGGAGGTGAATACCTGAACTGGCGAAACTGGAAAAAAGAAGGTTGTGATGGAGGAATGACACTGTTGCCATGCACCTGTGCCAGTACTCTTCTGGGGTTGAGTTTGGGAAACAGTTGATTCTTCGTGAGGCCCAAAGGAAAAAATAGGACCACCCAAGACAGGATTCATCTCATAGATAGGGATGTGAGAAGGCGGTGGTCCTCCAGGAAAATGGGAAAGCATCTGGCCTGAAGGATTCTGAGGGTCGGATACACGTGGCCATAAAGATATTGGATGGTTTTCAACAGAAAGATCTGCAGGAAGGGATACTGATAGTGGTTCTTCAACCCTTGATTGACTTCCCAATTGCCGACCTCCTGGAATAAGAAACATAAACTTTAATGATGATTAGTACAATAAAATTGCATGAAATGGTTAAAAATGGTTAATTACATTTCCCTTCAAGGATTGGTCAAACTACCAAATGATAAATCAGGTTTATTAAAATAACAAATACACCACTTGATAGGCTTAATATTCCATTAGTGACCCCAAAAGATGATACTCCGTAAAACATTAGTGTTAGATGGAATTCACGAATTCCCCCGTGCGTCCCAAGAACAAATCTTTCACGAATTCACTCGCCGATAGATCGTACAGCAAGCAGCAAAAACCTAGCAAAACACTGCCCCGGCTTAATCAACAATCGAACAGAATGCGTCTATAACGATCAACAAATCGGAAAGTAAGAGATAAAAATTCCCAAACTTGTGCCTTGATTTGGGGAATATCAAAGAATATTGAAAATACGGCGTGTGATGAAGAGCTTACCTCTGACGGCGGCGTAAGATAGATCACAGCAGTGCACCGTGAACAGAAGGAAAAGTACAGGACTGGCGTCGGAGGAGAAACCCTACTTTACTGGTCAGAGAAAGACGGCCTCTCTATTCTATCTATTTATTATATATAAGAAAACAAATAGCTCCTTAAATGACAATTACATCCTTCATTGCTATGTGTCACTCTCTCCATAATTTTCTCCTCTCATTGCTTAATGCCACGTGGCCGCTTCTTTCCAAATGAATTGAGTTTTTTTTTGTAAAAACGGAAGCAAAACAATCACCCGATTCCTCTGCATTCATTACTATTCGTTCACTCCCTTTTTCGTCTTCTAATAATAGTGATAATAATAATTCTAAGAGATAAAACCTATCATGCTACGTAATTCGTACCAGGAATCCACAAGTGTGCAATTTGTGTACTCTAATTCTAAAGAATTTAAGCAACTACTCCGTACAATTTAATTCTTACTTAATTTTAAGATTTTCTTTTAATTTATCTCAATCAAATTAAGCATCCTAATTTTTAAAAGTGCTATATTTTTTTAATTGTAGTATGATCGTTACAAAAATATCTAATTTAATAATTTTTTATTAACTTTCAAATTTAATTTTTACTTGGTTTTAAGATTTTCTATTAATTTATCTCAATCAAATGTATTTCCCTAAATTTTGAAGTGCTATATCTTTTTTATTTGTACTCTGATCGTTACAAAAAACACCATTTTGCCCTCTAACTTCACATGTGGCTAACTCTCCAAGATTCACTCAATTTCTAAAAATTTGACACGTGGCAACTTACACTTCTTTCGCTCTTTTCTTTCTAAAATTCAATGAACAAACACGAAATATCAAAGCGTGTAAATGTATTCGGTGGGTCCCATAAAATGAAAAAACATCTTTTTTTCTTTAAAGTGTTATAACTTTTTCATTATTAATTCAATTTTTACAAAAACATCAGATTTTTTTACGATCTTTCATATGACATCAATATTGCCTATATTTTTTTACGATAATTTTTTAACCTTAAAATTTTGTCACTTTTCTTTTAAAGTAATAAATTTGTGGTTGAACCTATTTTGATCTCCCCTACACAAACATCAATAACACATTTTTAAAAAACCCTTTTTTCTCTCAATAGTAAAAACATTTTCATCACTGATCCATTTTTAACAAAAGCATATCAAGATTCATAGTTTTCTTACCTTACCACGAATTATTTACTTATTAATGAAAGAAATAATTCCTATTATATAGACAAAATAAGTATTGTGGTCATATATTTTAGCAACTTTTTGTATTTTTTTATATTGTAATGATAAAATATATTGTGTATATATAATTTTCCATAATTACTTTATGCTTAATTTTTAAAGGGCATATTTGATATGTGGAACATTAATGTTATTTTCTTCAAAATGTCTAAGATGAGGTAAGCCAACTAAAACTTGAGTGGAAAAATTTTCTCTCTCATACGTAGTGCTTTTGGCATAAGAAGAAGATAAGCCGACTAAAACTTGAGCAGAAGAATTTTGCCTCTCAAACGTAGTGCTTCTATGTATAAGATAAGAAGGCTAACTATTCAGCATGAGAATTTTCTCTCATGTGTAGTTATTTAAGATATAAGAAGATAAGTCGGCTAAAACTTCAGCAAGAGAATTTTCTCTCTATTACGTGATGCTCTTAGGTATAAGATAAGCGGACTAATATTGAGCGGAAGAAATTTCTCTCCTATATGTAATGCTTTAAGGCACAAGGTAAGACGTCTAAAACAATTGGCCAAGAAAATTTTCTCTCTCATACGTTGTACTTTTAGACATAAGAAGTGGATAAGCCGACTAAAACTTGAGCAAAAGATTTTTGCCTCTCATACATATTGCTTTTATGTATAAGATAAGAAGGCTAACTATTCAGCGAGAGAATTTTCTCTCATATGTAGTTCTTTAGATATAAGAATATAAGCCTGCTAAAACTTCAGCGAGAGAATTATCTCTTTATTACGTGATGCTCTTAGCTATAAGATAAGCGGACTAATAATTGAGCGGATGAATTTTCTCTCCCATACATAGGGTTTTTGGGCATAAGATAAGTCTTCTAAAACAATTGACCGGGAAAATTTTCTCTCTCGCACGTAGTGCTTTTTGGTATAAGATAAAATAAGATGAGTTAAGCCAACTAAAACTTGGCGGGAAGTGCTTTTAGGCATAAGATAGGCCGTTTAAACAATTGACCTGGAAAATTTTCTCTCACGCGCGTAGTGCTTTTAGGTATAAAAAGATCATATAAGATGAGGTAAGCCAACTAAAACTTGGGCAGGAAATGTTTCTCTCCCATACATAGTGCTTTTAGGCATAAGATTGTTGTAGCAATTGGCCGGATAAACCTGCAAAAAACGTTAGAAAATAAAATAGCTCGAGTCGCGTGAACGCTGTCCTCAAGAAAGTATTTCCGACTAACGAAAATCTTTCCCCAAGATAAAACGAGCTCTTCGGCATAAGCCGGTAACAGAACAACGAGAGTAGAAGATTATTAATCCAGCAGAGTAAAAATAGAAGGGTGTTTTTAGCTCAAAAATAATCTTTTTCGTAGCCAACACAATAGCCTGGCAGAACACACATATATATACTCAAAATGAAAGTTGTTGGCTTGCTGCTAACGTTTTTGTAATAATAAACACCCAACGTTCAAATTATTGAATAAAATTAATGTTGAGGCTTTCATTGTTGTAACTCCTGAAAACAACGAGTTAAGCCCAAGCGGTTACAAAACGAAGTTCAGCACACATCATTATTATAGACTTAGCTCACTGGTGCAAATTAACTTTAATAAACACACACTACTCCTTTTAGAAGTAACGTACAAAGTGTACATTCAAAGGAAACACATTTTCAAAAAATTCAGCATTTTTTGTTTCAACAATTGTATCACATTCAAGTACATCACTTTGCAAAACCAGGAATCTATAAGCAGCACTAGATCCAGCATAACCAATAAACATGTAATCAGAAGTCTTAGAACCAATTTTCCTCTTCTTAGGATCAGGCAATAAGACTTTAGCCAAACACCCCCACACTTTCAGATATTTCAAATTAGGTGCAAAGCCTTTCCACAATTCATAAGGGTTTTTTTATAGTGCTTACGAGGAATCCTATTTTGTAAGTGACAAGCAGAAAGAATAGCCTCCCCCCAAAGATTATCAGGTGCACCGGAACTAATTAAAAGAGCATTCATCATCTCTTTTAGTGTCCTATTTTTCCTTTCAGCTATTCCATTAGATTCAGGTGAATATGGTGGAGTGACCTCATGGATTATCCCTTCTTTCTCACAAAAATCATTAAATAAAATATACTCACCTCCTCTATCTGATCTAACTCTCTTAATCTTTTTATTTAATTGATTTTCTACCTCAGATTTATACACTAAAAATTTATCAAAAGCCTCATCTTTATTTTTAAGCAAATAAACTTTAGTGTATCTAGAAAAATCATCTATAAAGGTGACATAATATTTTTTGCCACCTCTAGTGATGGTATTTTTTAAATCACCTAAATCCGTGTGAATTAAACTAAGCAATTCAGATTCCCTATAAGTGGAGGGACAAGGTTTTTTGGTTAGTTTAGATTGAACACAAACATCGCATTTTTCTAGTGTCATTTTATTTTGAAAAAATTCCACTTTTGGTCCTTTGAGTTATGCACCAATTCCACATTTAGTCTTCATCTTTCACTTTATCCATTTTTGGTACTTGATTATTGTTTTCTTGACCATATATAGTCCTTTTTCAGTAATAAAAATGTCCAGAGATGGACTGAAAATGGTCGGAAAAACAATAGTCAGGTACCAAAAATGGATAAAGTGAAAGATGGGGACTAAATGTGGAATTGGTGCAAAACTCGGAGGACCAAAAGTGGAATTTCTTCTTTTATTTTTACTAGAAATCAAACCACAATCATTTAGCATTTTAATATAAGAATTACTTGCATGTCCTAATCTAGCATGCCACACATTATAAGAATCAACTAAACAGACAGAAGCATTATCATGCAATATTTCAGAAATGCCAAGTATATATAGTCCTTTCTTACAATAGCCATTTCCCACAAGAACATCATTTTTGGTCATAACAAAATTATCACAACCAAAAGAAACTTTAACCCCAACTTTTCCCAAGAGATAAACAGAAACTAAATTAGTCTGAATCTCAGGCACATGAAGCACATCATTTAGTGATAAAGTTTTCCCCGATGTGAGTTTAAGAAGAACTTTCCCTTTTCCATGTACCTTAACGGTTTTAGAGTCCGCTAGGTATATGAGCTCTTCTCCATCTCCTATAATAGTATAAGAGGTTAAAGCATTTTTGTTTTTACAAATATGCTTGGTAGCCCCGGAGTCTACCACCCACTCATTCACATAATTCGTTTTACAACTTTGAGAAACAACCGCAATAAAATTATCATCACTACTAACCAAGTTTAAACTTGATTTTAGTGGGTTGTTATTTTTCATAGTTGTCATTTTACCACTAAATAAAGGAATAATATTTTTCTCAAAAATTGGTGTTAAAGTATGACTTATTGTAAGTAGGAAAGTAAAGAGAGTAAGCATTATACGTAGAGATATATCCAAATACCAGTCTAAATCACACCACACATGCAAGAATAACATGGCCGTGATGAGTGCAGCGACAACGCCTTGTGAGATCACACATGCAGACATATCTGACGCCAAATACTTTCTTGAGATTGTTGTAGCAATTGGCCGGATAAACCTGCAAAAACGTTAGAAAATAAAATAGCTCGAGTCGCGTGAACGCTGTCCTCAAGAAAGTATTTCCGATTAACGAAAATCTTTCCCCAAGATAAAACGAGCTCTTCGGCATAAGCCGGTAACAGAACAACGAGAGTAGAAGATTATTAATCCAGCAGAGTAAAAATAGAAGGGTGTTTTTAGCTCAAAAATAATCTTTTTCGTAGCCAACACAATAGCCTGGCAGAACACACATATATATACTCAAAATGAAAGTTGTTGGCTTGCTGCTAACGTTTTTGTAATAATAAACACCCAACGTTCAAATTATTGAATAAAATTAATGTTGAGGCTTTCATTGTTGTAACTCCTGAAAACAACGAGTTAGCCCAAGCGGTTGCAAAACGAAGTTCAGCACACATCATCATTATAG